CACACACACACACACACACACACACACACACACACACACACCTACTCTGCCTCTAGCTCTGAACACTGGATTTTGAAACTTCAAAATTGTTATCTAAATTTCTATGTGCAGCCATGTCAAATATTCACCACACTGATGCAAAACTGTCTAATTCACTTTTTTCTCCAATGTCATTGCTTTTTCAACTAAATATCATGTCAAAGTTTGACTAATGTTCTATAACTACTTCACTTTAAATGTCACCTACCCTCTATCTTGACAATTCCCTTATTCCTGTATTCTGAGAAAGTGAGATCATGGGAGGGGAATAAGTAAGTAAGTAAGTAAATAAATAAATAAATAAATAACTCTTCCAGGTATCTTTCCAGGTAATTTCTCGAATAGGTTCTCAATAGGAATACTATGTGTGCTTTAGAATGAATTAACCCAACCGTGATGTAGAAGACAGAAGACCCGCTTACAGGACAGTTCCATATCAAAATTCTTACTACTGGAAGGAAAATTCACCTCTAAACTTTCATCCAGATCAAAGTCTAAATATGGAAGGAAGAGAAAGAGAACCCTGGTGGAAAAAGCAACCACATAATACTAATTAGGTGTCTCCACTATGCTCCTAGGCAGCCCAGCTAGCCAATTAAGCCTAATTGCTGAGCAGGAGGGCCTTTGGGGTCCACCCCTACAGAGCTCACAGCAGTAGCTGCAGGGACATCTTTGCCCAGAGCAGGGCTTTAACCATACACTTCTCAAACTAATTTTAGTGACACTTTATCCTAATACACAAGAGAGGAGAGAGGGCATATTCTACTTTTAAAGTAATGTGATATTATTTAGGATTGATTTCTAATTAATTTTGTTCTCTGAATTTCAATATATTCCCAAGCCTTTGCTACTTTGGTTCGTTTATGAAAATCCAGAGGAAAGCTGGAAAATAAATACACCTTGAAAGACCCCCATGGGGTGAGACCCCGGGGTGACTACTGGAGCAGAGACCCCAGTCACCAGACAGAGGTGAGAACTTAATGCAAACAGCAAGAGGCTTTATTATTCAGCCACAGGAGCACCCCGACCCAGCACATTACTCACGTAGGAGCAGAGGAGCTTGACCCAGAGCTGTGATCTAGGGACTTCTTAAAGGTAAAAACTGCAAACAGATGGGGTCTGGGGTGAGAGAGACGGAAACAGTTCTGATTGGCTCGTTCCAGGTGGCCAACCACAATCTCTGGGCTCATGGGTCATTCAGGGCAGTTACATCTCTATCTCTGGGAATCATTTGTGAGGGTGGAAACTTCAACCTTAACGGCTCTTTCCTGTTAAGGTCATAAATTCAGGTTCTCATGTATTTGCAAAGAAAACATCTTAGGCTGGGGTCCTTCAGGATCTCATTGCATAGCGGGCAAATGAGATACCACCCAGCCAAAAGAGAACCTTTTAAAAAGGACAGACCATAAGGTAGGAGACCATAAATTACAGAGTTTCCACAGTTACTTAAGGTCATACAAAGAACAGAGTTAGTTAGTAACTATACATTTTAAGGGAGATACATTTGACTGAGATAAGACAGGGCATTGGCTTGTAGGGTTACAGAGTCACTGGGTCTGTCAGTTATCCCCAGGGCTGGGGGATCTTTATGACCAGCAATAAGCAAAGGAATGTTGACAGGAGTGGTGGACAGCTACCTCTCCTTCTCTGAGAGCTGGGGATCAGGATCCAGTCATGGCACTCCTGATTTAAGGAGTTAAATTTTCCTTTATCATTAGAGGTTCCCTAAGTTTTTAAACTTTTTTAATTTGAATTTTTGATCCTTCAACCTGAGGGAAAAGATGAGTGTAAAATTGTCATCACAAAATCTAAGATGTACAACTGAATGCAAATCAGAACTCACTGTATAATTTTTAGATTTCACACTAAAAATTTTACTCTTTTTCTCTAACTGAGAAAATATTCTAGAAAGTGATGGCTGTAGGAATCCTTTCCCTTGTTTAGTGCTTTCCAGCATCTTTATAACTATGGTTTATCAGTTTGTGTTCTTTGTCTCTGATCAAAATCAAACTGCAGAGCTTAGTCTGCCTCTTCTGATTGATTTTAATAAATGACTAAGATGTTGTGCCTCCCATTCACAGTGACAGCTTTCTGTTGTGCCCCGAAACTTGCCCCTCCACCTGACAAACTTGTCCCACTTAGTTTCCAATATTTGCATTTAAAATGAAGGAAGGCTGGATTTCATTCTTACTCAAGGCCTACTGCAAAAGGGTTTGCATCTAGGTTGCTACTGGAATGTGAAAACTCTCCACACTGCATTCATTAGTCAGAGAAACAAGCAAATAGGACTTATAGGAAATGACTGTGTCCAAGGGCTGTTACTTTTCCTTTCTGACATTATCATTCATTTCCCAAGTTCTTTCCACATTCGTTTAGTACTAGGAACACACATGATAGTTGAGAAATTTGCCAGATGTAACTAATTACAATCTTTCAAGACAAAATGTAAGTGAAGTGGATAGGCGAGAGTGTGTCTATGTGACAAATGCAGGGGAAATGAGAACAAAGGAGGGAGAAAGCCAGAGAGAGATGGGGGAAAGAGAAAGAGAGAAGAAACGCATCAATGACTAGACAGAAATGGCTACAAACAAGAAGAGACTTCAAAAGAGAAAGATACTTCTATAAGGACTTTACCAGTTACAAGGAATAAAATATAGTACAGGTTTTGCAGGTTTTTTTTTTTAATTCTGCCACTATGACCTTAAGTTTAATATTGAAAGGGGAAAATTAATAAAAGTCTAAAACCCAGACTCTAAAGCCCAAATAGAAAACTCTAAATTCCCAAAAGGCAGGCCAGCAGACAAGGTTAAACATAGGTCCACAGGACTCAAGCCCTTAAACCAGATATCATACCCTAGAGTGGTGTCAACATTCCTTTAGTTCAAAGAGGATCAGATAATCATCAGTTGTAGAAATCCCCAGCCCAGGAGACAATTAACAAACTCATTTCCTCTGCAGCATCCTGTTTGATTGTGCCTTGCCTAAAGCATACAACCATTGTCCTGTCCTGGGTAACCACGGAAGTTTTGTAATTTTGGGGCTTCCAGACTTACAATTTTGCCTTATAAAAACACCCCTCAGTCAAAAGTAGGTACTCCATTTGTTCCCAAATAAATAGGGACCTTGCTGCAGCTCGTAAAGAAATCTTTGTCCTTGCATTCGGTTAGTTGTCTCCTTGTTGATGGGTTCTTTTGTGATTCAGGAATCTGGGCACACAATATTTATATTCATAATGTAAGACCACCGGAAGCTCAGGCTTCCAGGATCTCAGGCCAGGACCGAGGTCACCCCAATCACCAGGCAAATTCGAAAGCTTGATGCAAACTGCACGAGGCTTTATTATAGTTGTTTAACGAGCTAACCCCATGTTAGCTCGGGTCTTTCATCCATCCACCATGGCGGATGGCTAGGAAAAGACAGCTCGAAGCATCTGCATAGAGATCTTATAGGGCATCGTGAGGGGAGTGTCTAGGGCTACACACAGGCTCAAGATTGGTGTGCCTTCAGGCTTGGAGGGTTTGCCCTGTGTTGATTGGTCAACTGGTTGTTATGGCCCATAGGCCCTCCCAGGGTGGTTGCTATGATCTTCGAGTCATTGCTGTGCACACCCAGAACCATAAAGCATAGTACCACCAGCTAACTTCTGATTGGTTCCTTGCCACGAGGCAGGCATCTGACCTCTTAGTGACCAAAGTAAGGTCAGACAAGCAGGTGTTCGGCTGTTATGGCTGCCAAAATGGGGAGCTGGTCCCTTCAATATATACTATAATTTGACAGTCTTCTCCATGATGATCAAGTTAATTCTATGGTTTTGATCCTCTAAAACTACATTTTAAAAAAAATAGGTGAAAGGAAGGCAAGATCATAAAGGGCATTTTCAATCAGATACTGTCTAGTTATGGATCAATAAAATCATCAGCAAACTCAGAGAACAACCAAGAAGCCAGAATGTAGATTTAGAAAGTGCTTGTACAAAAAAGCAAGGTCTTCACATAGGCTTGTAAATTACCAGAAGTAGGATAAGTACCTGGCATACCTTCCTTTATTTTACATTGGGCTCCTTCCCTTTGTGTCAGATCTTGGCTAAACTCTGCACACAGACATCTTAATCATTCACAGAGTGCTGCCTAAAACTGATGATAACTAGCCTATGGCATTCAACTTCAAGGCTGAAGGCACAGAGATAAGAGTACCTAGCTTATTGAACTTTAGGCTAGGTACTTTTAAGATGTCCTGTTCTAGACCCCATAAAAAAGCTGCTAGAGGTTTCTCCTCAATGTTTTAAAGCTCGGTTCCCTTTAATTCTAAGAACTGTAGAGCCTGAGAAGAACATTCATTGATAAAGTCATCTGTAGACAGAGGCATTCATCTTGAGGAAACTAGATAGTTCTCTCCAGTAATTAGGACTTCTCTAGAGGCATCTTGCAGAACCACAATTCAGCCAATTACCACCCGCAGTTTGACCAAGACTGATAAACAAGGAAGCGCTTAACCTGCCCCATTTCTCCATAGCTAAAGCATTTGGCAGACTCTTAGAGAACGTAGAGCAAAATACTTAATCTCCATTTTCTCTAAATAGACTTGTTGATGAAAATCCTTTCCTCCCTTTTCTCCATTACTTCCAATTGCCTTCTGTGATGCCAGTGGCCAAGCTGGTTTATTAGAGGTTTCGGAGTCAGGTCTCTGGCCTAGAACTCCAGTTACAGTGCTTTAAAAATAAACAAATAGGAGCAGTGTGAAGAAGCGAGAATGACCCCTGGATCGACCAAACTCGGGCACCACTGTATCCCCAAATTCAGCGCCAACGTCCCCGTCGCCATTCCCCCAAAGAAAGGGTGAAGGGGATACTAACGGAGATAAAGCCAAGGTGAAGGACGAGCCACAGAGATCTGCAATGTTGTCTGCTAAACCTGCTCCTCCAAAGCCAGAGCCCAAGCCTCAAGAGACAACCTGCAAAGAAGGGAGAGCCAAGGGGAAGAAGGGGAAAGCGGATGCTGGCAAGGATGCAAGTAACCCTGCAGAAAATGGAGACGCCAAAACAAAACAGGCGCAAAAAGCTGAAGGTGCCAGAGATGCCAAGTGAAGTGTGTGTATTTTCGCTAACTGTACTTCTGGTGACTGTACAGTTTCAAATACTATTTTTTATCAAGTTTTACTAAAATGCGGAATTTTGTTTTACTTTTTTTAAAGCTATGTTGTTACCACACAGAACACTTCATTATCTATTTTATTTATTTTGGAGGGTGGAGGAACATGTGTCACTAACAAAATATCTCCTAAGCTGGATTAACTGATGGTGGAAAACATCTTTTCTTGACGATTTAGAAAGTCTCCTCTTGGCTCAAGAGAGACGTCATGGTGTTGAGATATGTGGCCACCATGCCACAGAATGCCTTGTGTGCAAAACTCTAAATTCATTCTTCTAACCTCTTCCCCCTGTACCATCAACATAGACTTAACTCCCTTAAAACCAGAGACCTGTTGGAACCTGACTCTAAAAATGGTTTTGCTGGTCTACTGGATAATCTGGACTTTGCAGTGAAAATGATACCCTCAAAAGAGCAGCAGTTCCTTTTATATACAAGATCAAGATTGTGGATCTTTCGATTGGTAATTCTGCCATTTTCATTTCCTTTCCTGAAAGTCAGGGTCAACTTGTGAAAAGTTGTTAAACAACATCCTTAATGTGAAATATCAACCCTCACTCTAAGCTCTTCCCCTTTTCAAAGCATTGAATGAAGACTTCACTGGATTTTACAGTGGCTTTCTGATTTTGGTAGTCCATACAAGAAGGGAGTCTGGAAGTTCTTGTAAACTGTTACTGATTGTCTGCCCATGTCCTGCCTGAAATACCATGACTGTTTATGGAAAGTACCTTTAATAAAACTGGATACAAAGTTTGGCTTTGAAAAAAATTAAAATAAAAATAAATAAATTAATAAATAAGTATAGAGCTGGAGAGATAAAATGTTACAGTTGGAGTGAAATTTTTTCTGAGAAAAAGATTGGTGTGTAAAAAAAGAAGATGCAGATGAATAAACTCTTCCTCTGGAAAAAAAAGAAACAATTGTTAACTATAAAAAAAGATTGGAGTCACAAGACAATAAAGAGAATGTTAAAAAATCTCAAATTAGCAGATAAAAGGAGGCAGCATGACTTCTGTGGCTGAGGCAGAATAGTCAAAATGAAGGCTGAAAGCTACAGTCTGTAGGTAACTCTCATATTTTGCTTTAAAAAATAATCATTAAGGTGCCCCATCAGTAGATCTTGGCATTCTTAGGGACCCACGCTGACTGTTCAATGGGAAATAGCTATCTCACCAGAACTGTTGGAAACAAAATGATCCAAGCAAGATCATGCCCCTCTGGGTGTCACCATACCTGTGTGTGTGTGTACAGCATCAATTGGATTCAATAAGGTATTTTTTAAATGTACATGAATTTGAGAGTGAATGGAAGCATAATGATGGTTCTTAGGGTTTTAGAGGAGTTAAGAGAGGAATATGAGGTCAATATGACCAAAATATATAGTATACATGTATTAAATTCTTAAGGAACCAATTAAAATTTTAGATTTTAAAAAATCAACAATAAATATCTAGAAAACAACCCTAAAGAAATGGATGCATAAGACTCATTTGAGAAAGAATTCAAATCACCATCATCTTGATGATTCAAGAGAGGACAAATAGACAAGCAAGTATAACCATAAAAAGTACACAACAACAAAGTGAGACTCACAATATATAGAACTATTAAATACACAGGACCAGGTGACTTCACTAAAGAACCTCCAAAGTTTTCAAATAGATATCCTGGACCTGAATATATATATAATTAAAAGTACCCAAGATACAATCAGTAATATCCTCCAACAACCAGAAGAATCTCTAAGACAGATAAGTTATGAAGCAGAGAAATGAAAAGGAAAATAATAAAGAAAAATGAAGAGACCCAATGAAGGTTACAGAACACCATGAAGTTTGCTAAAATGAACATTGTAGAATTCCCAAAAATAGAAAAAGAGAGGATAAAAATGGAGCAGAGAGCTTATTGGAAAAGACAATGACCCAAATTTCCCAACTCTGAGAAAGAAAATAGACCATCAAACTTAAGCTTGGAGCATACCAACTAAAATTAACACAAAAAGTCCCTGTATTCATTGACATTAATAAACTCCTGAAATTCAAAATCAAAAGCAGATTGCAAGTATCAAGAGAAAAGCAACTTTACTATTACACAGGAACATGAATAAGAGCAGGAAGGGCTCTTTTTACATCAGATGAAATACAATTTGATTTTAAACTGTCACATAAAACAAGATGATACAGCTGGGAAATCCCACCCCGGGGTCTGCAGGCAAACTGAATCAGTCCCTGAATACCCAGGGACCCTGACTCTGCTGAGATTGCTGGGCTATTCTGACCCCCACAGAGTGCAGAAGTGAGCTGCTTTGGCCCCTGCATTGGGCTCAACTTCAGCCCGACACTCTGGGAACTCCTGCTCAAGGGTCTGCAGGCAGGTCGACTCAGCCTCTGAGGACCAAGAAACCCAGAGTCTGCTGACATCTCTGTGCCAGTCCTTCTCTCTCCCATCTGGAGAGCAAGTGCCTCAGACCTGCCTGCACCCACCATGAGACCCATCAGACCCCAGAAATTAAAGACTTCCTATAATACAATGAAAATGAAGACACAACATACCTAAACTTATGGGACACTTTGAAAACAATACTACGAGGAAAGTTCATAGCTCTGAGTGCTCACATGAAGAAACTAGAGAATACTCACACCAGAGAGTTGACATCACAGCTGAAAGCTCTAGAACAAATGGAAAAAAATGTAACAAAGATTTGGTTCTTCGAGACAGCAGATCTATAACAAGCAATGAAATGGAAGCAATATCCCTACAAAGAAAAGCCCAGCACTGGATAGATCACTGCAAATTCTGTCAGAACCATCTGTAGAAGTGCCCAACTCCACCAGTGGCCATATTGGAGCAGGTACTTTAAAAACTTGTATTTCACAAAATTGGAAAATCTAAAAGAAATGGATAATTTTGTCAATGATACCACTTACCAAAGTTAAATCAAGAAGCAACTTAAACAGACCTATAAACTCTAAGGAAATAGAAGTAGTCATCAAAAGTCTCCTAACCAAAAAAACCCCAAGACCAGATGGCTTCAGTGCAGAATTCTACCAGAAATTCAAAGAAGAGTTAATATCATACTCCTCAAATTGTTCCACACAACAGAAGCAGAAGGTTCATTGCCAAACTTTTTTATGAGGCTACTATTACCTTGGTATTCAAGCCACACAAAGATACAACTAAGAAAGAGAACTATAGACCAATATCCCTCATGAACATAGATGCAAAAATACTCAATAAAATATTGGAAAACTGAATCCAAGAACATATCAGAAAAATCATCCACCATGATCAAACAGGCTTCATCCCTGGGATGCAGGGCTGGTTCAACATTCGAAAATCTGCCAATGTAATCCACCATATAAACCAACTGAAGAATTAAAAAACACATGATCATCTTACTAGAGGCCGAAAAAGCCTTTGACAAAATCCAACATCCCTTCATGATAAAGGTCCTAGAGAGATCAGGAATAACGGAACATACCTGAACATAATAAAAACAATATACAGTAAGCCAACAGCCAACATCTCACTAAATGGAGAAAAACCCAAAGCTATCCCTCTAAAGTCAGGAACAAGACAAGGCTATCCACTCTCTCCATATCTCTCCAATATTGTTCTTGAAGTTCTAGTTAGAGCAATAAGACAAGAAAAGGAGATCAAGGGGAAACAAATTGGAAAGGAAGAATTCAAGCTTTCACTGTTTGCAGATGATATGATAGTCTACATAAGTGAACCAAAAAACTCTACCAGGGAACTCCTACAGCTGATAAACACCTTTAGCAAAGTGGCAGGATACAAAATTAACTAAAATAAATCAGTAGCCCTACTATATATGGATGATAAATGTGCTGAGAAAGAAATCAGAGAAATATCACCCTTTACAATTGCCACAAACAACATAAAATACCTTGGGGTAACGCTAACCAAAAAAGTGAAAGACCGCCGAGCATTGGTGGCGCATGCACGCCTTTAATCCCAGCACTCTGGAGGCAGAGGCAGGTGGATCTCTGTGAGTTCAAGGCCAGCCTAGTCTCCAGAGCTAGTGCCCGGATAGGTTCCAAAGCTACACAGAGAAATCCTGCCCCCCCCCAAAAAAAACAAAAAAAGTGAAAGACCGATATCATAAGAATCTTGAGTCTTTAAAGAAAGAAATTAAAGAAGATACCAGAAAATGGAAGGATCTCCCATGCTCTTTGATAGGTATGATCAACATAGTAAAAATGGCAATCTTGCCAAAAGCACTTTACAGATTCAATGTAATCCCCATCAAAATCTCAGCACAATTCTTCACAGAACTTGAAAAAACAATTCTCAACTTTATATGGAAAAACAAAAGGCCCAGGATAGCCAAACCAACCCTGTACTATAAAGTAACTTCCAGAGACATCCCCATCCCGGATTTCAAGCTCTATTATAGAGCTATAGTCCTGAAAACAGATTGGTATTGCCACAAAAAGAGACATGGAATCGAGTTGAAAACCCTGATATTACCCTGCATACCTAAGAATGCCTGATTTTTGTATGGGAAAAAGAAAGCATCTTCAACAAATGATGCTGACATAACTGGATGCAGACATGTAGAAAATTGCAGATAGATCCATATCTGTCACCATGAACAAAACTTAAGACCAAATGAGTCAAAGACCTCAACATAAATCCAGTCACAATGAACCTCTTAGAAGAGAAAGTGGGAGGTATCTTGAATGAATTGGCACAGGAGACTGCTTCCTGAACATAATACCAGTAGCATAGACACTGAGATCCACAATTAAAGGGATCTCCTGAAACTGAGAAGCTTCTGTAAGGCAAAGGACACAGTCAACAAGACAAAACAACAGCCCACGGATTGGGAAAAGATATTCACCAACCCCACATCTGACAGAGGGCTGATCTCCAAAATTTACAAAGAACTCAAGAAGCTCGTCTCCAAGACACC